TTTACTCTTTATCTACTTTTAGATCATAAATGTTAATATTACTAATTTTGGGATTATCTTACTTTCCTAGTGATTAACCTTATTCGTTTTTTCCTCAGTAGGAAACCTTCGTTTGAGGCTTCATGCCAGCCGGTTCTTATCACCACAACATATCTAGAAAATTGAGGAGACTGATCTATTCCTTGAAGTCCGAACCCATTTAAAGAACGAAGACCGACTTACTGAAGTATTCAAATTATACACTACATTTGTCAAATGTGAAAAAAATACATTTAATACACTGTTTGCACAACCTCCTTGAATTTCATCCTACAAGCTCTATCGTTCTTTAATTCCTGATGCCACTCAGACTGCTCTTGCTTTTATCACCCTTCTAATTATCGTCTTCTACTGTCAGTAAGGATCCTACCTAAAACTCCCGATACATACTACTTATATCCGTCCGCGAAAATAGCACACACCACACTCGCCTTAGCCAGTCAGAAATCCTAGAGAAACTTGGATTGCGAATATCCTCATTTTAGGACAGAGATTTTTATACTGATTGATCATTGCATAGAAAATTACATGTTTGCCTAGTTTTTAGAGCTGATAGAATCTAATCGACAAAGCTCTGAATACTTCCAACAGCTGAACATCAAAGCTCACTGGATCCAATGTCAAGTCATCTAGATCAGTGACCTTACTACAGGTTGACTTATGGATCTCGATAAGCTCTAAGGAAATGACAAACATGACACTGATCACTACTCAGTGATCGACTAACGTTTATTGTTTTGTCTTTATCATTATTATTATTATTATTATTATTATTATTATTATTATTATTATTATTATTATTATTATCTCAACCATATGTTCTTTTTTCCTTTGCTTTAGTTCTTTTTTTCATTTTGCCAATATGAAGTATGTTACGGCTAGGACTGACACACATTGAAACCTAAATTGAACAAATGGACAATAATTAGAAATCAGACAGTAATGATGTGCTGTCATTTTAGTTGTAAGATCATTCAACTACGTGGAATTATCACCAAGCCAAGAATTTTTCTAAAGTCTCATATATTTCACTGAGAACCCACTATAACAATGGACCATTGAGTTGACATTAAATACATGAGATCCTTAACTGTACTCAATTCAATTCAACAAATACCTTGACCGTTATTAGTAATACCTGTTTTACACTTGATATGACTGAGCTCAACTGAAATGTCACGACATATCTCTAGAGCTTAGGTGATCTACTCTCAAGTTAGTTATTGGTGAGAAAAGTATTAATTTTGCTCAGGACAGAATGGGTTGGAGAATGCTGGTCGGCGTAAGTAAGTAAGTAACTAAGTAAAGTATTACTTTTAGTTGAGTCCAGTAATTGCTCAGTGTTCTACAGTTATCGACCACTCCTCAGCTGTGACAAATATCATCACAAAAAATGTACCTCCGTAGACTACTCAATTAAGTAAGTTCAGCGATTCATGTAGGTTATTATTCTCTGTGAATTCTTTTTGTATTTACGTGAATAAGTTAAACATTAGTTATCTATTTCATCTTGACGTTTATTACAACGAGGCTAACTGGAAAGCTAATGACCAATGCTCATCTTTTATTTTTACCCATGATTAAGTCATATAGCTAAATGACAAATAAAACTCAATCTTAAATACTGATTAAATAATGTACACAAATTGATTTTTAATTAATTAGTGCTACATTCAATCAGTTGGTCAATGATACTTTTCAGTGTAATCCATTTCGTTGGGAGATTCAAGGGTCAGTTCTATAGACAAAATAAAGACTTAATTATACAGTCTGTAGCGTCGGTTATTATGTTAAGCCCATATACCTTATTCTAGATTTCGGATAGCCCATTCTATTCATTCCACTTGAGTCACATTCTGACCTTGTTATTTATTCGCTTATCAATCTTAACTGTTTTTATATGAGCGCGTAGGTGTGTGCACATTTCTTATGCCACTACTCATCACATGTCTGTACCTTACTTTTGTGTAACTATAAATATTGATTAACATGTGGTTAAAGAGGAGTTGACTTACCCGCCATCTCCACTCCGCGTCATTTCTCTTCTCTCAATTCCATTCGTTTCATATACAAGATATAAATATTCAAAAGTCCATTCTCGTCATTTGACTTATCTAAATCCGTTATTGACTAACACGATTAAAGTCGATGATTATATACGAGGATAGGTGATAAAAAACATTCATATGATCTAAATGGAGTTAGATCCATGTCCCACTAAAGTGGAGAACCATTTTGACAACATCGTTCGATCTAAATGACGACAAAACTAAAGGGCCTCACAAGTAAGTTATTCTAATTGTATTGTAGCATTGAGTTCATCCATCATAACGCAATTCAGAAAATAATATTAACCTGCGGTCAATACGATAGCAAAGCCAGTTACAGAATCAATGGTTGGAAGTTGCAGGTAATTTTCAACCTGGCTATAAATAGAAAGTGTTTAAAATCAAGATTGGTATCAAGTTGAAAGAACCATTGAAAGCCTATGGGATAATTGAAAAGCTGTTTTGTCTTGCTTTAAGACTTTCCAGTAACTTTTACCCAATGGAATGATTCAGCCCAGAACCTACAGGTGATACAATTAACAGGATATAATAATACTCGCTTCATTCAATATCATGCATTTATCAGTATCGAGTTGTGGAGACTGTTGATTTTGTGATTGAGATCATGAGCCGATTGATGTTAGATCACTATTGAAAACCTGGAAGCACTAGACGGCTGTTTCGTCTTAGTATAGGACTCCTTAGCAATTCTCATCCACGATCCCGCACGTGGGATTTGAATTCAGTACCTTCGGTCTCGCGCGCGAACTCTTAGCCTGTAAACCAATGAGCCAGGATCCAACGGTGTTAATGTCTAACCTCAACCGATCCACGAAATTGCGCGACCATCTTCTATTGTACTGAGGTAGATACTTGTCTCTACCTGACAATGACAAGGAGTCGCTAATGTAATTCATTAAAAATTGCAACCAAATTCTGGTTTTATAAACATTTAACTCATCAATATTAAAGATTATATGTAAAGAGATTTTAAACAGTGATTAGCTACTTTTCATTTCCCATTGTAAATGTTTACGACAAGTTTTGGACCTGGGATATCTCTTTTCCCCTTTAAATATATTTGATATATAAACTCTATGATACTTGCCTATCATTTATTCAAGAAAGAAGGGGACAAGTAGTAAAATGAGGAAATTTAATGGACCATAGTGATGATATTCCTTAAATTTCTAAGTCATTTGGATTCTGCATAGGTTGGCAACACTTAACAAGAGCGCTTAATTATGTTCGTTGCTGACAAAAAAGTTTAGTTAATTTATTCAGTTCTATAACAGGAAAATCTATGGTTTAAAAAATGAGTGTTTGATGGAAAAGTGGCTCAGATATTTGATCCAGTCGTGTATCAACATGCATATCAATGGATTAGAATAAATTCGAGAAAATTTCGAACGACATTAGATGTTACTGTGGCCTTAAATTAGTAGTAATTATTTTCTGGTGAATGTGTGACGGTATGCAATTTAACCAATAAACGAAAGTGGATTATTGGTACAATCAAATTTTGAATGAGTTTTGTGGAGAATTTAGGAAATTTCACAAGTTGAAATCATGAGTCAATTGAAGCTAGACCACCATGGAAAACCTGGAAGCACTGGACGGCCGTTTCGTCCTAGTATGGGACTCCTGGAGTCCTAGTGAGAGGCCGTCACCAGTGTAGTTCAACCAGGTCTGTTGTGAGAAATCAGCTCACTGAAGACAATGATGTTCGGTGGCTCAACTTCGTGGATTGGTTGAAGTTAGACATTAACACCGTTGGATGCCGGCTCAGTGGTCTGATGGTTAAGTGCTCGCGCTCGAAGCCAGGAGGTCTTGGGTTCGAGCCCCGCGTGGTGTGGGATCATGGATGCGCACTGCTAAGGAGTTCCATACTAGGACGAAACGGCCGTCCAGTGCTTTCAGGTTTTCCGTGGTGGTCTAGCTTCAATTGACTCATGATTTTAACCTGTGACGATCAAATCTGTCAATTTCTTTTCGATCTTTAGAGAAATCCACCTAAAATCCTCAAGAAACTCATGTGACATTTTTCACTCCTTCTTTTAGGCAATCAGTTTGTCATAAATAAAGTTGGTAATAATATTAATATGCATTACCACAAGTTGTTGCTCTTCGTATCAGCACAATGTGCAGATAAAAGTCAAAGTAGTCAGAATTACAATAGTAGTGATAATGATAGTAAAAACATAGATATGGAGTTTTAAACTAACGAGTATACATCAGGAATTAAAAACTCTCTCAGTGTTGACTAAATTAATCACGAAACTATACTTCTCGAAACAGCATACCGTCAGTGAATAACGTAGTTAATAAATATCACGTTTTATTTTGACAATTCCATCTCTATCCTTATCCTTATTTCATTTCGTAATAGATAGTGGTTGAGCACTCAACAATAAAATCCATTTTGATATATGAATCATGATTACGTAATTCAATGTAATCAGAGTTATAACAAGAGAATTTGTGGATAAACGAGTGAGTTGATTATTAGTCATGAGATTTTGTTAATTTTCGTTTAGTCTCAATAAACACTCAAAATCCACAATTTTCACATTTATCAATTGATGAATAGATCCCCAACACAAACTGGACTGACTGATTTACTTACTTAAACCGTTATTCTTTTGTATAAATAATTACAAACAAAGGGTACTCTATTTATGTAATATGCATTTGCACTATAACTAACCAATCAAATTTAAGTGTGTTTTTTTGTCGTGCACATATGTAATGATTGGTTACTTATTCATTTGTTCACCTTCTTTTCTACTATGTTACATTACTATGTAATCTGCACTATAAACTGTTCAGTTTTAACTTGTTCATTTATCTGTCTATTCATCTATCTATCTATCCATTCATCCTAATTATTTTAATCTTCACTGATTGATCCAATAACAAATGTAATCATATCTCTATTTGACCATTGTACTAGTGTACACCATAATAACATAGAAATACAACAACAAAAAAGTTAACTTTTGTTGTTTTTTTCTTTCTAGATAGTTAGTTTAAAGAATCAGTTCAGAGGATCAGTGTGCATTTCGTTTTCGTTAATACTATTTATAATAATCTGAACTGTTGAAATAAAGACTAAAGGAATCATATCACTATCATCACTATCATTATTATTATTATTATAAGGAGTAGTAATAATAATCAGATAAAGAGATAAGCACACATACTCTTTCATATAATATAACCAATTTTCGACAATTCCTTTCTTTTTGTTTCTAAGACAATTCTTGTCATTTTGAATAAACAAAAAACAAAAATAAATTTTTTTTTGTTTTGTTTAATAAAACAAATATGACTGAAACAGCCCATACATCCGATTCGGAAATGGATGATCCAAATAAAATTACAGGTCAGTTAGTTTTTATTAACGTTTATAATAATTAATTACTGTACGTCTGTTTATATGTATATGTGTTTGTATATGTATATGGAATAGTTATATAATATTACCCTTGTGGGATAGGGTAATTTTTTGCATTGGTTTTCAGGAGAACCAGATACCATCCAGACTTTCACGTGACAACCCAAATAGTACAGCTCAACCCCGTTTAACAGGGGAACAAGACATCATATAGGTTTTAACGCTACAATCTGAATAGTACAGCTCAATCCTGTGACGCAATCACACAGGTACCAAGCACCCTGGTGAACCAGTATGTGATTCAGTCATGAAATCTGGAACAATTGAAAATATCCACATCATTCGTTATCCTTTCCATTTCAGTTAGATAATCTTAGAACCAAAATAACGTGTTATTTCATGTTAGTCATAAAGGTGTACTGACAGATCTCTCTTTCGCTCTCACACACATATATTGAAATCTTCTCTGATATTAAAAATCAATATTAATGGGATTATTATAAAGTTATGTGAATCATTGATGATTTCTGGGAAAGGTATTTAGTTGCTTTTTTAAGAGTTCACTAAGCCTATATTCATCGTCATATAATATCTAACTATCAAAATGAATTTAGCTATTTAGTAACCATGACTCGAACTAAGTGATTATAATCCTTATCGGTTTGTATTATCCATTTGTTGATAAACAGAATTGAATGTTTATCTGTTTTAGTTGGTATATGTGTGTTCTAAGTGAATTTGTCGATTTTGCCTATTTTATATTACAAGTTTCAATATATTTGAATTTAAACAAGCAGCAGAACTTAAGACACTTGTTCCGCCGTATTCTATACCTGTCAGATGGTTTTACCTATTATCTTGATGTTGATATTCCCTCATTACTTATGAATTTAAACGCACAGGCGTTATATGCTTAACTACTGACCTAAATTCACTCCTGAATATATACAACGAGACAATACAAACCTTTATAAATAAAATATTGTATTCTTTAATCAAGTTAATGGCTGTCTGGTTTCTGTTTCTCAGTGGATTTTGTGTTGATATTTGAAACGATACGTATTACGCTTAGTTTTTACCGTGAATGGCAACACTGAAATGAAATTTTATTTTTAATGGACAAGTTTTGAGTAGATCGAAGCTAATGTAATTGGTTCTATTGTCAGTCATTGTCCTAAATAGTGGCAATGTTTTCTTCTACATGCTAAGTTGTTTCATATTGACCATTAACATTTATTCACTGAAACCTATTTTATGACTCATGTGAAACCGTAGTTGTTCAGATAGTTTTCTAGGAAGAGGCCATTAATTAATACCATCATGATTGATAGACAAACATGTAAAATAATATGACTTTTTAAGATGGGCATGAATACAAGGGTTCACGTAAATATCATATATGTATTATCTTCAGTAATAATCGAATTCTACTAATTAGCTTACACCGTGGTCATCACTTCAAGTAGCTCGACATTATGTTTAATATATTTTGATGTTAAAACTACACAAGAAGCATCCCTTCCCTGAAGACGGTGAATAGGCCTTAGTGACGAGTGTCACCTGACACAAAACCCAATTCTAACGAAGGAATCTTGCTAAGTGTCTCCAACCTATATTAATCACCTGTCTTCGTCACTGGGCTATATAATTATATGTCATGTGACCGACACTATATTTCAAAAACAATCTTTTATCCAAGGAAAGTTAATAATACACGAATGACATATTCCTGTTTGGTGAAGACTCTGAGACTTTTGTTCACCTTAAGTAATAATGTGAGCATTTTTAGGACGAACCTATTTCCCTCTAAGTAAAAATGATCCTTCAGGACTTGTCTGCCTTAACGCCTGAACTAATAATAAAAGGTGAAGTGGTTGAGTGTGTTGAGTTCTTATCAACCCTGGTTCATTAGTGTCTGATGAAATTTGAACACGGATTCAGAAAACTGAATTGAATTTTGATAACTTGTGGCATCGGCTAAATATCAGTTTATGAACCAAAGAGCGAGTATACGGAGTAGGAGTTCACTACATTGTTTTGTGACTGTGAAGTGTGACCTTTACCAACCAAACATATTCATAAGTTGCTGGTAGTTGATCATCAATGGCTACCACAGAGTAAGCAATGTTGAGGTTAAACACTGGATACTAGGAAAAGATGGTTAATCATTTGATGAAATGGTAATTGTTTATCGACTGAGGTGGTTGGTACATGTATTGCACACGTTTATTCACCGTCTACTTCGACAAACGGTGTTGTCTGGTATAAGAGTAGGCTAGTAGAAAGCTAGAGGTGTCAAAATAAGTCATGGCATCAGTCCATTAAGTTATTGTCTGTTGAATTGATTCATACATGTGTGTGTGTCGACTATCTGCTTAGGATCAACGCAATTTTCGCTACTCATATATCGCGACGTTGGATAGCATGACTCAGGATCGGTTTGAATGGTGCAGTTGAATTTAATTTTTGTCTCACTTTAGATCCTGAGTCACGAAACCTTGTATGAGTTCGCTTCTTCTTTCTCTAATCGATCTCTTTTAACTAGTACTGATACTATTGCTTCTTCTGATATTCTGGAATCCTTTTTCTTTTGTATGGAAACTTGAATTGATGAGTGTGTACCCCAGGTTCTACGTTGTTTCTGATTGATATATATATACCCTTATTAGCCCATTACTGAACATTACACAGTCATAATGTTCTAGTTCTTCAAACAATTCTAGTTTATCCTAAGTGAACTTCAAACTTACATTTACATAGTTGATTGAACAGTATAAATTGTCTTTAGCATAATTTCTATATCAAAAGGTTGATTCAACTCAAAGTTAGTCCAATTTGAATATACCCTGCTAGGCACACATTTGTAAAGCGATTATCGATCAAATCAAAACTAGACCAATGTACAAACGTAATCATTACATATGAAAATAGTAGAAAATAAGCACAAGAATGATGAGAATAACTTTTACATGAAGTAAACTTGTAACTAAATAACAATATTGAGGTAACCATTTTTAGGATGTAAATATGTCAATAGAGATTGATCAGTTTCAGCACTTAATAATAACAATATAAAATCACGAACTGGTATACAATATTGACATTTGTTTGTTTCACAGATTGAAATCATGAGTCAGTTGAAGCTAGACCACCATTGAAAACCTGGAAGCATTGGACGGCCGTTTCGTCCTAGTATGGGACTCCTCAGCAGTGCGCATCCACTACCCCGCACCACCTGGGGCTCGAACCCAGGACCTACTGGCTTTGCGCGCGAGCACTTAACCATTAGACCACTGAGCCGGCATCCAACGGTGTTAATGTCTAACTTCAACCAATCCACGAAGTTGCGCTACCGTACACCATTGTCCTCAGTGTTTGTTTGTTTATTTTCACTTTAATTAAGCATAAAAGAGATGGGTTGTAAACAACCTTCTGTGAAATGAACTAAATTGAATACAACAACAAAAAAATGTTGGAAGATTTAAGTAACTAAAATCTACTTAGATAAACTCAAAGAAAAAAATTTGTTTGTTTTTCTTCTTGTTTAATTAGTTGATCATTTTAAAATTGTATGATCATAGTTGAACTTCTTTACTGTGTCCGTTTATTCATTAATGTTGAAATAGTACAATGTGTATTATTTAAGTTTGATAATGAAGTTCTTATGGTGATTTTACATAGCTGACAATGTTTACAACTTATATAGACAATTTGGTGAGACTATAATTTATGAACGAATCAATTAGTTTAGGGATAATAGACTTTGATGCGAAGTTTATTCATCTGATCGGCTAAATAACGTTTTGGTATTATACTTACTTACTTACTTACTTACGCCTGTTACTCCTAATGGAGCATGGGCCGCCGACCAACATTCTCCAACCCACTCTGTCCTGGGCCTTCTTTTCTAGTTCCATCCAATTCTTGTTCATTTCTCTCATGTCTGTTTCCATTTCCCGTTGTAATGTGTTCTTTGGTCTTCCTCTCCTCCTTTGCTTAGCCTTGAGGATTCCATGTGAGGGCTTGTCTTGTGACGCATTCGGGTGCTTTCTTCAATGTGTGTCCTATCCACTTCCAGAGCTTCTTCCTGATTTCTTCCTCCACTGGTATCTGGTTTGTTCTCTCACACAGTACGTTGTTGCTAATGGTGTCCGGCCAACGGATCTGAAGTATTTTGTGTAGACAACTGTTAATAAACACCTGTATTTTCTGGATGATTGCTTTCGTAGTTCTTCAGGTTTCCGCCCCATACAGTAGAACTGTTTTGACATTTGTATTGACAATTCTGACTTTGGTGTTGGTTGACAGACAGTTGTTTTGAGTTCCAGACGTTCCTCAGTTGTAAATATGCTGCTCTTGCTTTACCGATCCGCGCCTTCACATTTGCATCAGATCCATCACGTTCATCAATGATGCTGCCCAAATATGCAAAGGTTTTTACATCTTCCAAACCTTCTCCGTCAATTGTGATTGGATTGGTACATGTTGTGCTATATCAGAGAACCTTGCTCTTCCCTTTGTGTATATTGAGACCTACTGCTACTGAGGCTGCTGCTACACTGGTCATCTTCTCCTGCATTTCTTGCTGCGTTTGGGATAGAAGGGCATTATAGCTGATGTCAATTCGTGATGAAAACCATAAATCAAATTCCTAATCCTAACCCTCAATTGTAAATCATAACACTTATTCTTCAAATTGCTTTATAACCCTCATTTCACTCTATTAAGTATATGGACATTCTAAAGGTCACTTCAGCATTGCTCAAACGTTGTCCATAAATTATAGTCATACCAACGCTTTTTTTCAATCGTTCACGATAAGACACGGACCAATTTATATTTGAGTTCTTCATAAATTTAAAAATTAGTTCATTAGTTGTTTATCAGTTCGTACAATAAGTGTATACTAATTATCGATATAATAATATTATGAGACAGCAACCAGTTATATAATATACCCATGTGGGCCAGAATAAATTTACATTGGT